AATGTATTTCCTGATAAAATAAATGCATTTAAATCCTTTCTGTTTTATTACTCGTCTGTGTCGGAAATAGGATCCTATGCTACTTCCAGTAGCTAACTTTTTCGGCTTAGGATTTAAACAGAAATCTAGTCTTTTTGAGTTTTATTTTTTCCTTTTGTGTAAACCTTATGGTATATAGTGCCTAATCTAAAGAAAAAACTAACTAAAATGCAGATAAACATGGTTCAATCATATTTTGCCAAACTTCTCTCAGCATGTCCGATGATGACGTCAGACAAGCTGTTTAACGGAGATGTTTTAAAGATTTGTATTAGCATTTCTTAGTGATTTAAGGAAAGAAATAAGTACTTTTAGTAGCATAATGGGCTCTATGCACAGCTCCACTACTTCCTGAATTTAAAGCAGCTCCTTTGTTTCCTGTCTTTCATTACTGGACGAACTGATTAATCCAGGTGTGTCTGGCCAGTTACTTAGGTCATACACACCTGGATTAATCAGTGAATCCAATCATGAAAGACAGGAAACAAAGGAGCTGCTTTAAATTCAGGAAGTAGTGGAGTTGTGCATAGAGCCTATTACATTTCCTATTGCGACCTGGATGAATATGTGCTTGTACATGAGCTGCTGAACCGATGGTACGGATCGTGCTTCCGGTATGGTTCAGGTAGTGACTAATGGGATAGCAAAATGCCAATGCTAACTTTTTGCTGACCAGACAACCAGCTGGCAAACAGTACAGCCAAAAGTTTGGAACAGTGATTGAGCTCAAGTGCACCACCTACTGGCTGAGAGGAGTTAAACTAGTTGATTAAGAACTGAACATTACTAACCTGACAACAGCCAGATGCATGTCTCACTCCGCCTAGCTCCACTCATATACATCTGGGAACCCGCCAAAGGAATTGCCTTTACTGAAGGCTGGGCCTTATCAAAACTCCTTGCATATGATTGGATAAGCCACTTGTCTGTCATCTTTATTGACGAGCTATTTCAACCACTCACACCGAAGCTAACCCGTGACGCTGTGAGAGGGGGAGCCATTGGGTAGATCAAGCTCTTGCCAAATCCGGTCGGGAGAAGGGCGAAAACATCGTTTCCACCAACAAAAGCCTTCAAAGCCGTTCTCTGATGTTCTTTTAATGAAACAATATCAGATAGATTGGACAACACAGAAGAAATAGCAGCATCAGTGCTAACGCTTGCTTCCTCGATGCGAGCCGCCATTGTTGTTGGAATCTCACGGTCGCTTCTCCACTCCAGGACACACCCGCCCTGCGTCCTGATTGGCCAGACCATAAATTCGGTTGGGGAAATCACTTTCAATGAGCGGGTTCCCAGATGTATGTGAGTGGAGCTGGGCGGAGCGAGACATGCATCTGGCTGTTGTCAGGTTAGAACATTACAGTCACTGAATGTAAATATTTCTGCTTTTCCTTCTGCTGCTCAGAAATTTGTTGAAATTCTCTAGAGAGCTTTGTTCTAACTAATGAACATGATGGTTGTAATAATCTGGATTTTATGCCTGTTGAAATGAAAATGTATCTCATAAAGTTTTAATGTGATCTAGGCAGGAAAGGCTGAGGCTAGTTTGATCAAAGTTTATGCATTTAACTGAAATACTTAACTGATCTGAAATAGTGTATATTTATCAACTGGAAGTTCAAACGTATTTTTGTAAAATTGCAACCAGACAAAAACCTCATCAACAGGACAGTGGTGTTCTTCATAGATCTTTCCAGTTTTCATACTTGAATTATTAAAATAAATGTAGATTTACAATGTTTTCGTGCCCAGACCAATAATAATGAGTCATTGGTCTTATTCCATCATAATTTCCATACGTTGGGTTGAAACGGTAAAACCTCTGTTTTTGGATACAATTACATGACAATTCCTTGTCCTTAGCCCTGACAAAAGGTGAAGTTTTAAGGCCTCTACTTACATTACAATGAATAAAGTACATATTTTAACATTCAAGTTGCAGACAGAATCAAAGGGAAACCAGAAACAAACAAGTTTTGGTAAGAACCGTGTTAACATTTACATTTCAGTAGCTTATTCAATAAACATTAAAGTGACAAAACCTCTTAAATGAACCTAAAGTAGCAGATAATTGAGCCTTTGACAAACAAATGTACACAATTATTTCTAACAAACAGTGGCTTCAGTTCAGTCTGGGAAACCCCAACATACATTTTGTTTCCTTCAAAGCACAGAAACATTTCCATACACAACCTGTTGACCTGCTACAAAGGAATTTTAGTGGATGTTAAGAAAATCCTACCAACTACCCACTCAGGACACTTGGAATACATTGGACGAGCAGTATGGAGGAATATTGACACGTTTTTTGTGGACTTTTATGGATCTTTCTGCCTCGGGCACCATAGACCTCCATTATTTGAATGTCATAAGACAGCAAGAAGCCTCCCAGATCTCCAGATGCATTTGAGATATCAAAAAAGTACTCCAGAGTGTTGTTCAGCATGGGGGTGAGTAGAAAATGAAGGCTAATCATGTTTTGGGTGTACTATTCCTTTAATAACAATAAATCACACAAAACGACAAACATATTCCCTGGGTCATATGGAAGTTATTTCCTGTAAAATGTAAATAAAAATCCCTTTATTGTCTCACAATGGGGAAATTCGTTCTCTGTATATTGACCCGTCCCCTTGGGGAGCAGTGGGCAGCCATTGTGTGGCACCCAGGGTTAAGATTTTTGTTCAGGAACCCAAAATGCAGGCTGTGGGGACAGAACCGGGTACTTTCTCAGGTCACAAGCACACTGCTCTAACCCACTAGGCCAACACTCTCCCTGTAAAGATGTTTACAGTATATTTATTCATTCCCACAAGCATGTGAGTGGAGTTATCTTACTGTCGGCGTCACATCAATTGTAACACTGTTAAATATCTTATTAAATCTCATCAAAACCAGTTAGCTAGAATTTGCTTTGGTACACAGTGTGCTTTGTTTTGAATATGTTTAGGCAGTCCATACATTTATAAGCTAGTGGAGAACTTTACATGGTTCATTAAAATATATAAAACTGATTAATTGGAAATTAATATCATTAGTTTGATTTGTTTGTATTATCTGTGAATACCCCAAAAGCTGGATGTTTTATTGTTTAAAAATGCAACAAACCTGCCTTGAAACCGCCCTTATATCTCTGAAACATGGCTACTGGCAAAAAAGAGGCCGCTTTTGCAAGGTATAATAAAACTAATTTGTATTAGAGGTATTCAGCTAGTGATTTTGTGATGATTAAATGATAACAGTTAAAGTCTATATGTATGGCCTTCTGTTCCTTTTGTTTTATATCAACAAAAATCAGATGAAACCTAAACATCTGAAGTGAGAAACTAAATAAAGATGCTACATAAAAATGTTCCTCAAATCAAAAGGGTTCTTCTTTTAGGTTCCTCTTCCGATCCCCCCCTGGGCAGCTTATAGCTCTGAAATGTCATCAGCTTTTCTAACCTTATCATGCAGATGCTACCAGCTAACATCAGCCACAGAGAAGAAAACCAGACAAACTGCTGAGGGTTTCAATCGCCAACCTCCATCTTTGTGTTTCAACATTTATGAACAAAGTCAAGACAGCTTTACTTTGGCTCATGCCAAAAGACGCAAACAGTGATTATATCTACATAAAAAAACATTACAGATCTTAAAGTGCCTAAATATATGATATTTGCTGTTTAATAACATATCTCTACAGCTTGCACCTTATGCTCCCTTTAGGTTCATCCTTTTTCTCCGTCCTCTGTCGAAGTCTGTAACACCTGACGTCATTCCAGACACATCCTTTGTTTGATGCCGCAAAGAACATTTCATGCTCTCTTTCTCGCTCTCCTTTTCCTCCCTCTGGTTTTCAGTTCAAGCATGGCTAATCACCAGGTGGCTTGGCTTTCACTGGATCAAGGCTTTAATTTCAAATGAAAGGGTCGCTGCTCTGCACAGCCTGAACCCTGCTGTTAGATGATGGGGGATATTTCTGCTGTCCACTCATGATGGCCCGTGCCCAAAGGTAACTGAGGAAGACGAAGAAGACACATGCTGGTAGAATTTGGCACAACAGAAACTGTTATTCACCAAATATCGAGAGGAATGTTTACAATCCTGCTGAAGGGCGTTCTGAAGCTGGGGGCATGGGTCTTGTCTTCAGCTTTTGACTGGGGGGGGGGGTCTTAGCAATGTCTCTCCATAACACTGACCTCTACATTCAGTGTGCCCTACACAACAAAATATGAAAATGAACAACCTAAATCAACTTAAACCCAAACTCTCTATCTGCCCGTTTTACACTGGGTTAATTTCTTCCCTTTAAGGCCTCAACAAGATTTAAATGTGCTAATATCATGCATTTAACACGAGCTACTTTAAATTTAAATCATACTCTGACAGAATACATTTCATGCTTAAAATCTAATTCAGTGTTCTTATCGTTCCTATCATGTTCAGTTTCTGTACGAGGAAAGATTCTGGATGACGGCTGTCATTACAGAGCGTTGATTTTAATCAAATCTGGGAATCTTTCTTTGCTGCAATTATCTTTGACTGCATAGGCATTGAAACCCAAATAAATCCAAACCAAATCTGTTTGTAAAAGAGCGAAATACAACGAAGCCTCTATTTGTTACCAGCAAGGATTGATATTTCTCTTAATTTCAAACACATCAACCTAACAGACTGAAAAGCACTTCAGATAACATGTGGCTTAAAATTCAGGACAACATCAGTAGATTTCAAACCGTTTTTGGGGATTTGAACGATTAAGCCCTATCAAACAGGTCCACAGATAAAGCAGTGAAATCTGAAGTTGCAGCTAAATGCTCTGATAGAACCATGTTCACAGCCAGCAGCAGCTTTAGATTCAGATCTGGATCCTTTCAAAACATACAACAGCTTTAATCCATGTATTAAACTGACAGCTAAGGAGTGGAACAATAATCGACTGATCAGCAGTACACAGAAAGAAAAATAAAATGCTGCATGGCTGAACCCAGTGTTTTTAGTATGTTGCAACACATAACTAAGACCTTTTTTTTGTCCTGTTGCATACACAGCTATTGACAGGAACTGGTTGGTTAAACAATGTTGTGGACCGATCCTGACTTCCATTGGGTGAATGGACAGATTTTCCTCAGTCGCTAATGAGGATATGGAAAGACAACAAGGAGTCCTGGGAATGAAAGTGGAATGTAGGCTGCAAAGGAGGCGGGAAGATGAAGCCGACCGGAGCCTGGAGCATCCCAATAGGATGCGATCAATGTCGGCAACATCGCTCTGCTTTGAAGTGTCCTCATTAAGGTTTTTTTTCCATCAGAGATCTGAAGAGAGTGAAACTTCCCTGTGACTGTGAGGGATGGTCGGTTACAACAACAAAAGAAATGTGGCTCCCATGAGTCCCAGGAAACAATCTGATCTGATTCAGAAACAATCATAAATTTCCATTTGACGCAGGTTTAACGGCTCGGTTGGCACAGTCATTTTTATTTTAGGTATGATTATTCCCACATGTGGACAAACTCGTAAAAGTGCTTTTGAGCGTAAATCCTGATCCAATGGAAGTACTGTGTGGCTGACCCACTTACAGAGCTACGGCATTTAAGAAAATGTTATATCTTAAGATTCAGTTCAACAGTCGAATCTGAGTAACAACATCCAAATTAATGGTTTTCATCACGAGACTTAGGATCGCTCACAACAGGGTCCGATGGTGCTCTCCAGCGACATCTGAGATGAGTGGCGGATGAGTGGCGCCATCGTAGGATCCACCATAGAGGAGGTAGGGAACAACCTGTACCAGCCAATCACCATTGTGCTGAGGTCAAGCTCCTCCAACAGAATTCGGGCTACGCCCATGAAGCTTTTGCGGTCCATTCGTCCGTAGTTTCCCCAAACAATCACCTAAAAAAGAAAACAAGAGGATAAAGACAGCTGCATGACGTTATACTACTTAAAAGTATTGAAATGCTGTTATGGCCATGGTCTGGGAGAATACTCCGTTGTGATTGGCTCCTATACATATATATATATATATATATATATATATATATATATATATATATATATATATATATATATATATATATATATATATATATATATATATATATATAGATAGATAGATAGATAGATAGATAGATAGATAGATAGATAGATAGATAGATAGATAGATAGATAGATAGATAGATAGATAGATAGAAAGATAGATATAGATCGATATAGATATATAGATATGGATTGATATAGATATATACATCTATATATAAAATATATATACAGATAGATATATATGTATAAATATATATATATATCCTGTTCTAAACCAAATATCTTTTTCTTTACACTTGTGTATACAAAATCAAAAAATAAATCTGTCTAAGTTTGTCTAAGTCTAAGGCCCCGTCCACACGAAGTCAAAACGAACACGAAACGCTGATATTTTCCAGAACGTTTGTCGTAAAGACGGAGACGTAAAATAAATGTGATTGTCCACACGAATGCATGAAAACACTGCAAAATGTATGCCAGGCCTGTAAGTGGCGCTGTGGTGCCAAAGCAAAAATAGGCGACGAAATGTTGGGCATGCGCACTAATATTTATACATGGTTGCCCTGCGGGTCCATTTTCGTGGTTCAGTCAAATTCAGGTGCTGAACTATGTGGTCGATATTGCTCTGTTCTTCCTGGAGATATTCCAGAAGAAGAAGATTCTGTTGGAAGCCCGACAGCAGGGTGAGTAGCATGAGCAGCAACCATTCAACACAGTACGGCGCCATTGTTGTTGTGATACTGTGTCGCGCATGCGTGTTTAGAGGCGACGCTATGACGCATGCGTGTAAAAAAAAAATGCGGTTAGAGCTTAAAGATGGAAACGCGAAAACGGCGTTTCAAAATCTTCCCACTCTGAAGGCTGAATAAAAAAAAGATCATTTACAGACCCCCGAAACGCCGACTTCGTGTGGATGAGAGGCTGGTTTGGTGAAAAATTTGTGCGTTTAGGCCAGGCTTCGTGTGGACGGGGCCTAAGTCTATATATAAATATATATATATATATATATATATATATATATATATATATATATATATATATATATATATATATATATATATATATATAAATACATTGTGTTGATCGACAAACAGCAGAAAAAGGCAGTAGTGATAGATGTGGCAATCCCAAGCAACAGCAACATCAAGAAGAAAGAACACGGGAAGCTTGAGAAATACCAAGGGCTGAAGGAGGAGCTAGAAAAGATGTGGAAAGTAAGAGCAGCAGTGGTGCCAGTGGTAATTGGAGCACTGGGGGCTGTGACCCCCAAACTGGGAGAGTGGCTACAGCAGATTCCAGGTAAAACATCAGAGGTCTCTGTCCAGAAGAGTGCAGTCCTAGGAACAGCTAAGATACTGCGCAGAGCTTGAGACATACCACCCCACGAGGGGTGAGAAAATATTTTTTATATATATATATAAACACACATATTTCGACGTCAAGAGATAGTAGATTAACTGAATTCTAACTGAACTTTGGCCTCCTAATGCTTGTCTTAACTAACCATAAATTAGAAATGATGCATGAAGTTGAACAAAATAACTAATAGGCACCAAAATCAGTTCAGGGTCACTTTATACTGATCACAATAAACCCACATCTGTATTTCATAAATTAATCACTGGCGGTGTAGCAGATTTTCATGAGTCCCTCTACACACAAGCTACACACTTATTTGTACATCGGTACTGTTTGAATGAATGGTCTGCTTCTGTCCCCTTCAACCCCAGTCGGTCTGAGCAGATGGCTGCTCACACTGAGCCTGAATTGAACTGAACTGAATCAATGGTTCTACATAATATACAAATGAAATAGGTTGATCGGCTGATCTTTAATTACATAGAATTCAGAAAAAAATAAAATTCTGAAAACCAAACAAAATCTCAAAACAGCCGGAAAATGCTTGGCGAAGGAAGAGACGAGGAAACAACAAAACAAAAAAGAAGACCAGCCCTGAGTGAAGGCTCTGCTGCTCTTTAATGCCCAGAACTCTTATGAGACTAATGAGCTCCACCTATGTAGACTACCCAGGTTCTCCACAAAGATCCTTTCTGGAAAAGATGCATCACTCACACACACACACAGGAACCCTGGGATTATCGGCCAAATTGATCAAATTTAGCGTTAAACAAAGGTTAGCAAAAACGGACCTATCGACCACCTGCCAAACAATATGGATCAAGAGCGTTTTGTTTACCTTCGTTATATAAAGACTCAGAGTTTTTTTATTCAGTTTTTCTAAGGTGAAAGATATATATTTTTTTACATTTAAACTAAATTTATTCAGCTCTGGTATAAATTATTCTTTCTATATCCGCATCATCCTACAGGACCCTCCTGTATGTTGATACCAAGATTAGCAATTAAAGAAGTTGAGAAATGCCTCATAAAGTATGACTATGAATTATTTAGAAAATAGACCATAGAGTTTGAGGGGTTAAACTGCCAGTAAAAATCTCTCAGGGTTTTTAATTTTTGACATCTCATATGTGATGTGTGAAACATTAGCTTTGGTTAAAATGTGAAAAATGGTCTCTGCTGGTCCTGGACTGAATTTTGATTAACAAATCTAAGCAAAAGCAACATAAACTTAAACAAACGGCCACATGTGTTTGAACCATTTTAATAAATACAAGCATGTCTGTTTGTTATGCAATGTGTTTGTTTAGAACTGATGGACAAAACTGATACTGTCACAGAGGCAATTAAAGCAGCTTTTGAAATAGATTTTCTGTGTCTTAAGCAGCTTTGCGTTTTGCTAAATTGGGAAATGACAAATAGAAAAGTGCTGCTGATTTCAGAGATTTTCATTATCCAGTGTGAATGAGTGTGATGAAACTTGGAGGACAGCAGCACAGACAGCGGATAATTAAGAGGGAGGCGTTTAGCGGCTAATTACCAAGTGACAGGAGCAGGAGAGCAGCTGGAGGCAGAGCTGCAGGCCTTTCCAACAAACACATCACTGATGCCCTCTGCAGGCCTGAGACAAATGGTCTTGCCAAAACCTAGGTTCAGGTTATGACACACACACACACACACACACACATATATATATATATATATATATATATATATATATACATATATATATATATATATATATATATATATATATATGTATATATATATATATATATATATATATATACATATATATATATATATATATATATATGTATATATATATATATATATATATATATATATATATATATATATATATATATATATATATATATATATATAGACACGAAAGCTCCTAACCATAGAGAATACTATAGCCGTAAGGAAGGACCCATAAGTACTTTAAAGGAATAGTACACCCAAAACATGATTAGCCTTCATTTTCTACTCACCCCCATGCTGAACAACACTCTGGAGTACTTTTTTGATATCTCAAATGCATCTGGAGATCTGGGAGGCTTCTTGCTGTCTGCTGACATTCAAATAATGGAGGTCTATGGCGCCCGAGGCAGAAAGGTCCATAAAAGTCCACAAAAAAACGTGTCAATATTCCTCCATACTGCTCGTCCAATGTATTCCAAGTGTCCTGAGTGGGTAGCATCCATAATTTACTCGAAACGAAGTCATTTAGAATGTTTTTAGAGCATAAACAGTAGTGTATAGGATTTCCTGAAAGCGCGCACATGCGCGTTCACGAGTCTACGGAAGCCGGCAGACCAAACCAGATGAAAGTGCGCATTCAGCGTCTGCTCTGCCAATAATGCAAGCGTAGAAGAAGAAATGTGCTGTTTACCTGTGCAAAGAAAGAAACAACGAAATAAAAATGTCTGAGGACTTCAGTGTTGAGGAAGAGCATGAGTTCTTTGCCGAGCTGAATGCGCACTTTCATCTGGTTTGGTCTGCCGGCTTCCGTAGACTCGTGAACGCGCAGGTGCGCGCTTTCAGGAAATCCTATACACTACTGTTTATGCTCTAAAAACATTTTAAATGACTTCGTTTCGAGTAAATTCTGGATGCTACCCACTCAGGACACTTGGAATACATTGGACGAGCAGTATGGAGGAATATTGACACGTTTTTTGTGGACTTTTATGGACCTTTCTGCCTCGGGCGCCATAGACCTCCATTATTTGAATGTCAGCAGACAGCAAGAAGCCTCCCAGATCTCCAGATGCATTTGAGATATCAAAAAAGTACTCCAGAGTGTTGTTCAGCATGGGGGTGAGTAGAAAATGAAGGCTAATCATGTTTTGGGTGTACTATTCCTTTAAGGACAAGGCTCTAACAGATGTCATGCTCAGTGAATGTCTCAGACTATGGGGAACAGAAGATGAGATGCTGGAGGTTCCGTCATGGGAGGACAGGCCCCTACACGGGATGTACCACCAAAACATAATAGAAGTGGCGGATATAAGGAAATCCCACCAATGGCTACACAAAGCCGGACTGAAGGGCAGCACAGAGGCACTCATCACGGCTGCACAGGAGCAGACCCTGAGCAACAGAGCAATAGAGGCCTAGATCCACCTCACCAGATGAAACCCCAGATGCAACAGGCCCCTGAGACAGTCGAGCAGATAACTGCAGCTTACATGGAGCGCCATAACCAAGTGGCTGGAATTTTTATTTATTTATTTTATTTATCCTTTATTTAACCAGGTAATACCCATTGAGATTAAAAATCTCTTTTGCAAGGGAGACCTGGCCAAGATAGGCATCAAAATTACATCACATCATTACATACGTACAAAGACACACACATAAAAGCCAAATATGCACTTACAATAAAATTTCAATTAAAACATTGACATGTGAGGGAGTCTAACTCAAAACATCTAATAATAGTTTACAGGAACATCAACATCTAAAACCTGCAGGACAGTGGCCCTCGAGGACCGACTTTGGGGATGCCTAAGTTAAAGCATTACTGATCCATGAATGACTCTCAAAAGAAAAGAGAAAAAAAAAATAAAAAAATAAATATATATATATATATATATATATATATATATATATATATATATATACAGATAATGAAGCACAAAGAGCAGGTTGACAATGCCACACTCAACAATGAAGTAGAAAACAGTTGTTTACAACTTTATCCAAGCCCTCTTTATGCCATTTAAGAGTCAGCTCTTTTGAACATTTAACCCTTAATTTCCCTGATCCAAATTGCAAAGCAAGAAAACCTCTTCTTTTTGTAACTTTGCATCGTCCCCCAGGTCCTTACTCTGAATTTTTAGATGAGTTTTCAGAGTTCCTTTCTGATTTGGTATTAAATACTGACAGGGACATCATAGTGGGAGATTATAACATCCATGCTGACATTGATGGCGATATCTTAGACACTATTGGCTTTGTTCAAAATGTGAATAGTCCCACACATTCTCATCTTCATACTTTGGATCTTGTGCTGACATACGGCATAGAATGTGAACAAATAACAGTATTTCCTTACAACCCTGTCCTCTCTGAGCACTTTCTAATAACCTTCAGGATAACTTTAACAGAGTTCTCCTCCCCCAGAAGAAGGTTCAATTTTAGTAGATCTTTATCAGATAGTGCAGTTATAAATTTTAAAGAATCTGCTTCACTTTCTCTCTCCTCTGTGTCGCTGAGCAGTGCTGCAGAGTGCAAAAGCATATTTAATTCCCCTTCACAGGTTGATGATTTTGTTGATGGGGTTGCTAGTTCTCTGCGTACTGCCTTAGACAATGCAGCTCCTTTGTAAATGAAAACTGTTAAAAATAGAACGATGGCTCCTTGCGTTAATGCAGAGCTTTGCACTCTGAAGCAAAATAGGAAACTGAAAATATGAGGGAAAATAACGCTCCACAAGCCTGCAGGAATCCTACCTAGTCTGGAAATTTAGATTACTACTGCTTACTGCTGTATAAGATGAGCCTAAAGCAAGTGCAGCATATTTATCCTCATTATTAAGAATAATCCTAGATATCTTTTTAATACAATTGCCAAACTCACCCAGAGCCATAGCTTAGTTGAACCATCCATTCCACCTGCTCTTAGAAGTAATGATTTTCAGGGATTCTTGATAAATAAGATTGATTTTATTAAAAACAAAATAAAATTAGCACTCCTCTATTTACGATTAGTTTATCTCTGGAAGGTGAGGCAGCATCTGAGGTAACCATAGAATCAGAACCGGGTTTAGACTGCTTTGATCCAGTTGGACTTTCAGAGTTAGCAGAATTATTGTCTTCATCTAAGCCTTCAACTTGTATGTAGATCCAGTTCCAACCAGGAATGAATCCAAGTTTTCAGCCCAATTAACCCCAGTGGAGAAGCTTCCAGAGTTCTCCTGGCTCTTATCTTCTCTTCACCATCCTCGATTTTAACTAAACCTTCAGATTTAAATTAATCAAGTTCAACAAAAGGAAGATCTGTGAGTTCCTTAAATCATAATTTTTGCAAACAGCAAATCAAATAAAGGTAAAAAATTAATTTCCTCTCTTTGGCTTCCATGGTTGTCTCTTGAATTTTATTGCTTTTATTGTAATGTCTATACTTTATATTTATCTTATCACTGTTATCTGTCATGTCCCGCACTTTATTTCAGTCTGAAAATGTCAGTTTTGTATATTTCTTGTATATTTGTATATTTCTAGAGAGTAAATGTAATTTCATTTCCCTTGTATGTCTTGTACATATGAAGAAAGTGACAATAAAAGCTGACTTGACTTGACTTGACTTACCTGCACCACTTTCCCCTGTGGGCTTTCAGAAAAGACCAGGACCTGATTGTAGAGAGGATCCAGAGACTTCCTCGCCGCTTTGGTCTTCTTCTTTGCCACACAGATGCCGTTCTCCAGGAGATAAACTTTTATATACGCAGCTGAAAAGTGGAAAAAAAAAATGTTTGGTTCTTTTCAATTAGCAGAGACTTTAATGGCTCAAACTAGCAGGATTAAATCTTTTAAACTGGCTTGATGGGAACTAAGACTGGATTTCAGAAAGCCAACATGTTGTAGGCTGTGTTAAGGCCATGGAAAGAGAAGTTAAGGAAGTCCTGAAAATATTTCTTTAGTTTTGGGTATAATACGTAGGAAGGAAACAAACCGAAAGATTCAGGCTGGAAGAAATATGGAAAACTGGTGAAATTAGGGAAATAACATGGATGTTGATAGGAAAGATGATGGTCTTACAGTGTGGGGAGGGTAGAAATTTAATCCTGTTTATTTAACATCTACATAGATTAACACCATCACACCTGTATGCTCTCATAGAGGGATTGCTGCAGAGTCAATACCTCCTGTCTCTACCTGCTCATCCAGGAGGAAAGAATCCTGAAAAGTTAGTGATTGGAAAATCTGGACCTTTAATCTGACTGGATGATCTGATTGATGTGGATCTATAAAGTGATGTTAGATGACATGGTGTTAATTAGGGCTGTAGAAATAACCTGAACTTGTGATGGTTCTTCCCTTGTGGGACTCTGAGTTTTTTAGTTTTCGGTTAGTTATTCCGTGTTTTGGTCTTTGGTTTATTTTCCATTGTATTCAAACAGTCTTTAGTTACTCTCTGTTGCCCCCTTGTGCTTGTTTCATTTCCCCTTGGCTTCCTTCTAGTTAGTTCCACTGACAACTGCTCCATATTCTGCTCATTAGTTCATCCTTTGTCCTGTTTCCCTTATATACACACCAACTCTTCAGTCACATAGTGCTGATTCCTTGGTTTCGTATTTTAATAAAAGAACACAGATTTTAAGACAGGATTGTTTTATTAGATATAAATGTTCTAACTTTAGGGACAATATAGTCTGATAAAGAGTATGTTTATAAACATGTTTAAGCCAGAATGATTTGACATTTAAATATGATTTCCCTACAACTTTAATGGCTTCTGCTATATGAAAACAATGAAATATTTCTCATGTTGGTCTTTAACATGTTCAGCTTGTCAAAGGGTCGAGTTCAAACCAAAATCGTTCCTCTTTGTGTAATTAGACATAAACTGAAGTAAAAGCATGGATGCCTTTTTTCCGGCTCATTTTAGAAAATAAGCAGGAAGTTCTCTTGGGTGAAAAACCTCTGTGAGTCATTCTGTTCATGCTTGGTGCGTTCAGCTCGCTCTGCTCTGTGTGCAAATTCCCTAAACTATGAAAAATTGTTTCCCCCTTTTAGCATAGCCTGCAGGCTGCTGTGTGCACAGCTGGTGCTGTGTTCTGGCTTTTGATTTATTTCTGCAGAATCGTCCTTGTTCTAAATATAGCAGAAGTTAAACACAAGCAGTTGAGTTCATGGTAACAAACTCCAAACAAAAGTTTTTTGTTATTTTAATCCTACATCACTGACTTACCTGGAGGTCCCTTTGAACCGGGTTTCATGGTGAGTCCTCTGGCCTGAACAACTTCTACTTCCAGACCTCCGTTTCTCTCCGTCAGGCCGATCTCTACGTCCCCTTAATGGATAAAAACACCTAGGTTATCATCAGCAGCATCCAGCTTGATGGATGAAGAAAAATCTGGACATTCGATCTGATCTTTAATCACCATGTGACCTTTTTTAAATCAAGTTTCTTTATTTATTCTAGAACGGTTCGTCCAACATGAATTCCTTAAAAGGACAAAGATTCTCCTGTTTGTGACTGAGCACAGATGACATCGCTCTCATTACATAATGCAGGACTGGACAGAAGGTTTGGAGTGGAACCGGTCCAGTGAGTGTAACTGTTGTTGCTCCAAGGACGCTGTCTGGCTGCCAGTGAGGAGCTGACCCACTTACAATAGAACACAGGCTGCGTCAAATATACCCCCATATACACAACAATCATCTTTGCTGTCAAAACAGAAGCAAGAGAGAAACAGAAAAGGAAAAAAACAAACAGAAATTTTTGGGAAGCATGAATGTGATTTATATCAATAGATTTTATACAATCAGAGTCAAAGTTTATTATCTTTTACTAAGAGGTCAAACGGTGGTTTCCTTACGGAAGAGGATTAGGGCCACTGAAAAAAAAAAAAGTTAACTGATTTTTTAATTTTTTTTTCAGTTTAGTATGAAGAATTCTGACTTTAATCTCAGAATTCTGACTTTTTTCTCAGAATTCGGACTTTAATCTCATAATTCTGACTTTTCTTTCTCAGAATTCTGAGATTAAAGTCAGAATTCTGACTTTTTTTCTCAGAATTCTTACTTTTTTTATTGTCAGAATTCAGTCAGAATTCTGACTTTATTCTCAGAATTCGGACTTTTTTCTCAGAATTCTGTGATTAAAGTCAGAATTCTGAGAAAAAAGTCAGAATTCTGACTTTTTTCCCATACTGAACTGAAAAAAAAAAAAAATCAGTTAACTTTTTTTTTTTTTTCAGTGGCCCTAATCCTCTTCCGTATTTCCTCCTTATGGGTTTAATTTGAGTTTAAAACTTTGAAAGAAATAGAATTAAGTTGACGAAAAAAAAAATGTTTTCAAAGGGGAACAGGGGCAGAGAAAGACTTTTCTGTTGGGGGGCCAGAGGGGGACCAGGCTGTTTGTGTCTACAGACAAAAACTTTTTTTTTCTTAATCATTTGCGGTTTGATTTTATAAATGTGGAATATATCTAAGTACAGGCAGGCAATGTAAAATGAAGTGCTATAGTACAGACCATTTCCCCTTTTATTATGTAGTTGCACTATTTTAATTTCTTTTCTGATTTATTGCAACTGTTTATCATCAATGAACAGTTTAGAGACAATATTTCCTTTTCTTTATAAAATGGACAATAATGATTTTTTTTAAGTAAAAAATTAACCATCTAAAATCTACTTAAAGTTAAATTTGCTCAGGTCATTTTTAATTTCTTTAGACTAGAAACTTTCCTTGTATTTGATTAAAATGTTCACCTAACTCATGAAAAGTCAGCTGAGTATAAAACATAGAGACGAAAACAACAAGAAAAGGGACAAGAAGAGAGGGACAAAACCTAGAAAAAATAATGGATCTGTATTTTATTAACATTTTTGTATCTGTGCAATGGGTCTGTTTTATGTGTTGTCTTCTCAAATCAAAGGGGCCCCTTGTCTTTTTTTTGCATAGGGCCCAAAATTTCCTAAATCCTTCCCTTCCTGCTGCGCTGGACTGGGTTCGCGCTCATATGATGAGACCTGTGTGGCCCCCCTCACACCACAACTAACTTTGTTCAGCTGGAGGGGACTTAACACTGGAAAAACGGTCTAGAAATAAGTAAGCGTATTTACCCTTAATTTGAGCAGGTAAATGATATTATTTGCCAATGGAATGAGTATTTTTACTCTTAATATACACTCACTGGCCACTTTATTAGGTACCCCATGCTAGTAACAGGTTGGACCCCCTTTTGCCTTCAAAACTGCCTCAATTCTTCGTGGCATAGATCCAACAAGGTGCTGGAAGCATTCCTCAGGGAATTTGGTCCATATTGACATGATGGCATCACACAGTTGCCGCAGATTTGTCGGCTGCACATCCATGATGAGAATCTCCCGTTCCACCACATCCCAAAGATGCTCTATTGGATTGAGATCTGGTGACTGTGGAGGCCATTTGAGTACAGTGAACTCATTGTCATGTTCAAGAAACCAGTCTGAGATGATTCCAGCTTTATGACATGGCGCATTATCCTGCTGAAAGTAGCCATCAGAAGTTGGGTACATTGTGGTCATAAAGGGATGGACATGGTCAGCGACAATACTCAGGTAGGCTGTGGCGTTGCAACGATGCTCAATTGGTACCAAGGGGCCCAAAGAGTGCCAAGAAAATATTCCCCACACCATGACACCACCACCACCAGCCTGAACCGTTGATACAAGGCAGGATGGATCCATGCTTTCATGTTGTAGACGCCAAATTCTGACACTACCATCCGAATGTCGCAGCAGAAATCGAGACTCATCAGACCAGGCAACGTTTTTCCAATCTTCTATTGTCCAATTTCGATGAGCTTGTGCAAATTGTAGCCTCAGTTTCCTGTTCTTAGTTGAAAGGAGTGGCACCCGGTGTGGTCTTCTGCTGCTGTAGCCCATCTGCCTCAAAGTTCCACGTACTGTGCGTTCAGAGATGCTCTTCTGCCCACCTTGGTTGTAACGGGTGGTTATTTGAGTCACTGTTGCCCTTCTATCAGCTCCAACCAGTCTGGCCATTCTCCTCTGACCTCTGGCATCAACAAGGCATTTCCGCCCACAGAACTGCCGCTCACTGGATGTTTTTTCTTTTTCGGACCATTCTCTGTAAACCCTAGAGATGGTTGTGCGTGAAAATCCCAGTAGATCAGCAGTTTCTGAAATACTCAGACCAGCCCTTCTGGCACCAACAATCATGCCACGTTCAAAGTCACTCAAATCACCTTTCTTCCCCATACTGATGCTCGGTTTGAACTGCAGGAGATTGTCTTGACCATGTCTACATGCCTAAATGCACTGAGTTGCCGCCATGTGATTGGCTGCTTAGAAATTAAGTGTTAACGAGCAGTTGGACAGGTGTGCCTAATAAAGTGGCCGGTGAGTGTATAATTAGATAATATGGATTGGAAATAAGACAATGTAATAGTTTTTTTTTTTATGTAACTTGTCTTGTTCTTTTGGCAATTTTTTTTTACATCCTCAATTCAAGAACAAATGCAGTTAAAATGACTTATCTAGATTCCAATTTTGTCCATTGCACAATCTGACCCTTTGTGAGTCAGCGAGAAAGTGTCTGGATGTTTTTTCGTTTTTTATATATAAAAGTGTTATTGCTTAATTTGTTTTTCAATATTCTGACATAGTCAAGATGAATTAAAACATTAAAATAGTATTTTTTTTTACTGATTAATCATTTTTCATGTATCAAATGCCAACGTTTCAGCAGGGATGTATAGACCTCTCATATCCACCAAGAGCTCAACGTTCACAAAGACTCAATGATTCTCTTGATTGCTTCCTTCAACGTTGGAAATCTAATATTTCTGAGCTATGATTTGAAAGGAAAGATGTAGTCAGTGCTGTCTCACCCATTGATGTCATTGCAAGTGTCTGTCTCCCAACAAACTGGGCCGGTCCCATCCCATCCAAGAAGTCACTGAACTGGGCATCAGATGCGAGACACATTCCGCTGTAGTTCAGACTGAGGAGACATCAGAAGAGATGGAAAGTTGAGTCGTAAAACGGTGGAAAACAAAGTGAAACAGCAGTGAAGAAAAAGGCAAGAAAATGACATCAATAGCGAACAATAAAAAATAAAATAAAAAACATTAAAATCCCTAAACTAGTAAAAGTAAATAGTGCTAATTGAACTCAGTTGAATGTAGAGTTGAACCCACAGGGCCTGCTTTATCTTCGTGCTTAGAAGAATCAGATCAGAGTGCTTTGGTGGCAGACGGCCAGCAACTATAAATGTGTCTGTGTCGGGATTTCTAGCTAATCTTTACCTTAAAAAATGCAGAGGAGAGTAGCAGTAAAAGCAAACAATATGATGAACAGAACACCTGCTTCTGGAAAACCCATGAGGAAAAGTTTTCCACCGGCTCCAGTGATTAGTGCGGCAAAGATCTAGTTCTGAGGGAGATTATCAACTTTTCCCCTTGATGATGCTCAACGAACAATGGATGGATGGATGGATGGATGGATGGATAAACGAAGGATGGATGGATGGATGGATGGATGGATGGATGGATGGATGGATGGATGGATGGATGGATGGATGGATGGATGGATGGATGGATAAATGAAGGATGGATGGATGGATGGATGGATGGATAAACGAAGGATGGATGGATGGATGGATGGATGGATAAACGAAGGATGGATGGATGGATGGATGGATGGATGGATGGATGGATGGATAAATGAAGGATGGATGGATGGATGGATGGATGGATGGATGGATGGATAAACGAAGGATGGATGGATGGATGGATGGATGGATGGATGGATAAACGAAGGATGGATGGATGGATGGATGGATAAACGAAGGATGGATGGATGGATGGATGGATAAACGATGGATGGATGGATGGATGGATGGATGGATAAACGAAGGATGGATGGATGGATGGATGGATGGATGGATAAACGAAGGATGGATGGATGGATGGATGGATGGATGGATGGATGGATGGATGGATGGATGGATGGATAAACGAAGGATGGATGGATGGATGGATGGATGGATGGATGGATAAACGAAGGATGGATGGATGGATGGATGGATGGATAAACAAAGGATGGATGGATGGATGGATGGATAAATGAAGGATGGATGGATGGATGGATGGATGGATGGATGGATGGATAAACGAAGGATGGATGGATGGATGGATGGATGGATAAACAAAGGATGGATGGATGGATGGATGGATGGATGGATGGATAAATGAAGGATGGATGGATGGATGGATGGATGGATAAACGAAGGATGGATGGATGGATGGATGGATGGATAAACGAAGGATGGATTGATGGATGGATGGATGGATAAACGAAGGATGGATGGATGGATGGATGGATGGATAAACGAAGGATGGATGGATGGATGGATGGATGGATGGATGGATGGATAAACGAAGGATGGATGGATGGATGGATGGATAAACGAAGGATGGATGGATGGATGGATGGATGGATGGATAAACGAAGGATGGATGGATGGATGGATGGATGGATAAACGAAGGATGGATGGATGGATGGATGGATGGATAAATGAAGGATGGATGGATGGATGGATGGATGGATGGATGGATAAACGAAGGATGGATGGATGGATGGATGGATGGATAAACGAAGGATGGATGGATGGATGGATGGATGGATGGATAAACGAAGGATGGATGGATGGATGGATGGATAAATGAAGGATGGATGGATGGATGGATGGAAGGATGGATAAACGAAGGATGGATGGATGGATGGATGGATGGATGGATAAACGAAGGATGGATGGATGGATTGATGGATGGATAAACGAAGGATGGATGGATGGATGGATGGATAAACAAAGGATGGATGGATGGATGGATGGATGGATGGATAAACGAAGGATGGATGGATGGATGGATGGATAAACAAAGGATGGATGGATGGATGGATGGATGGATGGATGGATGGATGGATAAATGAATATGGATGGATGGATGGATGGATAAACGAAGGATGGATGGATGGATGGATGGATGGATGGATGGATGGATGGATGGATAAACGAAGGATGGATGGATGGATGGATGGATGGATAAATGAAGGATGGATGGATGGATGGATGGATAAACGAAGGATGGATGGATGGATGGATGGATGGATGGATGGATAAACGAAGGATGGATGGATGGATGGATGGATAAACGAAGGATGGATGGATGGATGGATGGATGGATGGATGGATGGATGGATGGATGGATAAACGAAGGATGGATGGATGGATGGATGGATGGATGGATGGATAAATGAAGGATGGATGGATGGATGGATGGATGGATAAATGAAGGATGTATGGATGGATGGATAAACGAAGGATGGATGGATGGATGGATGGATAAATGAAGGATGGATGGATGGATGGATGGATGGATGGATAAACGAAGGATGGATGGATGGATGGATGGATAAACGAAGGATGGATGGATGGATAAATGAAGGATGGATGGATGGATGGATGGATGGATGGATAAACGAAGGATGGATGGATGGATGGATGGATGGATGGATAAACGAAGGATGGATGGATGGATGGATGGATGGAGGGATAAACGAAGGATGGATGGATGGATGGATGGATGGATGGATGGATAAATGAAGGATGGATGGATGGATGGATGGATAAACGATGGATGGATGGATGGATGGATGGATGGATGATGGATGGATAAACGAAGGATGGATGGATGGATGGATGGATAAACGAAGGATGGATGGATGGATGGATGGATAAACGAAGGATGGATGGATGGATGGATGGATGGATAAACGAAGGATGGATGGATGGATGGATGGATGGATGGATGGATAAACAAAGAATGGATGGATGGATGGATGGATAAATGAAGGATGGATGGATGGATGGATGGATGGATGGATGGATAAACGAAGGATGGATGGATGGATGGATGGATGGATGGATAAACGAAGGATGGATGGATGGATGGATGGATGGATAAACGAAGGATGGATGGATGGATGGATGGATAAATGAAGGATGGATGGATGGATGGATGGATGGATGGATAAACGAAGGATGGATGGATGGATGGATGGATGGATAAATGAAGGATGGATGGATGGATGGATGGATGGATAAATGAAGGATGTATGGATGGATGGATAAACGAAGGATGGATGGATGGATGGATGGATGGATAAATGAAGGATGGATGGATGGATGGATGGATGGATAAACGAAGGATGGATGGATGGATGGATGGATAAACGAAGGATGGATGGATGGATAAATGAAGGATGGATGGATGGATGGATGGATGGATGGATAAACGAAGGATGGATGGATGGATGGATGGATGGATAAACGAAGGATGGATGGATGGATGGATGGATGGAGGGATAAACGAAGGATGGATGGATGGATGGATGGATGGATGGATAAATGAAGGATGGATGGATGGATGGATGGATGGATAAACGATGGATGGATGGATGGATGGATGGATGGATGGATGGATAAACGAAGGATGGATGGATGGATGGATGGATAAACGAAGGATGGATGGATGGATGGATGGATAAACGAAGGATGGATGGATGGATGGATGGATAAACGAAGGATGGATGGATGGATGGATGGATGGATGGATGGATGGATAAACAAAGGATGGATGGATGGATGGATGGATAAATGAAGGATGGATGGATGGATGGATGGATGGATAAACGAAGGATGGATGGATGGATGGATGGATGGATAAACGAAGGATGGATGGATGGATGGATGGATGGATAAATGAAGGATGGATGGATGGATGGATGGATGGATGGATGGATAAACGAAGGATGGATGGATGGATTGATGGATGGATAAACGAAGGATGGATGGATGGATGGATGGATGGATGGATAAACGAAGGATGGATGGATGGATGGATGGATGGATGGATGGATGGATGGATAAACGAAGGATGGATGGATGGATGGATGGATGGATAAACGAAGGATGGATGGATGGATGGATGGATGGATAAACGAAGGATGGATGGATGGATGGATGGATGGATAAACGAAGGATGGATGGATGGATGGATGGATGGATAAACGAAGGACGGATGGATGGATGGAAGGATGGATGGATTGACTGCTGGATGAATGAATGAAGGATGGAATCATGATGGATGATGGATGGATGGATGGATGGATGGATAAACGAAGGATGGATGGATGGGATGGATGGATGGATGGATAAACGAAGGATGGATGGATGGATGGATGGATAAACAAAGGATGGATGGATAAACGAAGGATGGATGGATGGATGGATGGATGGATGGATAAACGAAGGATGGATGGATGGATGGATGGATGGATGGATGGATGGATAAACGAAGGATGGATGGATGGGATGGATGGATGGATGGATGGATGGATGGATAAACGAAGGATGGATGAATGGATGGATGGATGGATGGATAAACAAAGGATGGATGGATGGGATGGATGGATGGATGGATGGATGGATAAACGAAGGATGGATGAATGGATGGATGGATGGATGGATAAACAAAGGATGGATGGATGGATGGATGGATGTATGGATAATACCAGTGGAATAGATGGATGGATGATTGATGGATGGTATGGATAAACAAGGGCTGGAGATGCATGGGAGGATGGATGGATTTGACTGCTGGATGAAGTCATTGAAATGGAATCATGATCATGATGATGGATGAGATGGATGGATGGATGGATGAATGGGATGGATGGCATTTTATGGTTAAACGTGGTTGGATGGATTTGGGTGAGGATATGGATTGGATGTGATGGAAGTGGATTGATGATGAGGGATGATGACCATGTGAAGCAGGCATGATGATGGACGATGCATATTGCAATTAAAGACTTGATGTATCCAGATTTAAAAGTGAGCAGATGAAAAAAAACTGTTCCACACTCAAAATCATACA